CTCTTATATACTATATCAACTATTCTATCATTTAAATGTTAAAGAATCCATTTACAGAAAGTAAGGCAACCAATAAGAAAAATCTGAAGTTACTTAAAAGACTGAGGGTACCAAAAAACAATCCAGTCAAGAAATGGGCAGAAGACATGAGCAGACACTTCTCCAAAGGAGACATACAAATGGCTAACAGACACGTGAAAAAATATTCAACATCACTAGCCATCAGGGAAATACAAATCAAAACCACAATGAGATACCACCTTACACCAGTTAGAATGGCAAAAATTAACAAGACAGGAAACAACAAGTTTTGGCGACAATGTGAAGAACGGGGAACCCTCTTACACTCTTGGTGGGAATGCAAGCTGTACAGCCTCTCTGGAAAACAGTATGGAGGTTCCTGAAGATGTTAAAAACAGAGCTACCCTACAACCCAGCAACTGCACTACTGAGTATTTACCCCAAAGATACAGATGTGAAAAGAAGGGGCACATGCACCCCAGTGTTCATAGCAGCAATGTCCACAATAGCCAAACTGTGGAAGGAGCCAAGATGTCCTTCAATAGATGAATGGATAAAGAAGATGTGATTCATATATACAATGGAATATTACTCAGCCATCAGAAAGGATGAATACCCACCATTTGCATCAACATAGATGGAACTGGAGGGGATTATATTAAGTGAAATAAGTCAAGGAGAGAAAGACAATTATCATATGCTTTCACTCATATGTGGAACATAAGGAATAGCATGGAGGGGAAGGGAGGTAAAATTGAATGGGAAGAAATCAGAGAGGGAGACAAACCATGAGAGACTCTGGACTCTGGGAAACAAATCGAGGGTTACAGAAGGGTGGGGGGTGGAGGGAGGAGGTAATCGGGTGATGGGTTTTTTGTTTTGTTTTGTTTTTTTAAGATTTTATTAGAGAGAGAGAGACAGTGAGAGACGGAACACAAGCAGGGGGAGTGGGAGAGGGAGAAGCAGGCTTCCCGCCGAGCAGAGAGCCCGATGTGGGGCTCGATCCCAGGACCCCAGGATCATGACCTGAGCCGAAGGCAGACACTCAACGACTGAGCCACCCAGGAGCCCCGGGTGATGGGTATTAAAGACGGTACATGTGGTGATGAGCACTGGGTGTTATATGCAACTAATGAATCGTTGAACAGTACATCAAAAACTAATGATGTACTATATGTTGGCTAACTGAACATAAAAAAAAATGAGGGTAAGTACAAAATATTTTAAAACTTACATCTCTTTGATAGTGAAGTATTAGAATACAAGTATTATAAAAGAAGATTAAAAGGCTATTAAAGAGTGCCATATTCATAAATGAACAAGAAGGCAAATAAATTTAGCCTTAGAGTAAAATGCAGCAAACCGTACTAGCACCCAAATAATCACGCACCATAGTGCTCCTGGGACATGACTTCAGCAGTCATTTCCAAAAGGTGGTTGGGGCTTGCCACACAGCCACATTTTAACAGAAGAACTGTAGGAGTTCTAGGGTTGTACCTGCACTATCAGAAGAAACAGCTGACACTCAACATGGAATTAGTTTGTATCATTTGCCTTTGATTATTCTAGGGAGAAAGATGTATCCCTTGTCACCCTTTTGCTGCCTTTGATTATGAAGCAGGTTTTACAGCCTTTTCATTTTTTGATAGGGATCACATGCAATGGTCCGAAGAAGAAGCAGCAGCAGCCAGGAAAAAGGTAGAGGAAAACTCGGCTGTGCGAGTTCTTCTGGAAGAACAAGGTAGGCAACTACACGCTGTAGCTCCTGGAGCCTGGTTTTTCTGTTTGGCCTTCCGCTGATTTAGGTCACACGTTCTCCTCCTAATTGTGTCATTACTTTGGAAAGTTCTTCACTTCGACCTCTGCCAATCCATTTGGGAGAATTCCATTGTTCTAGTGTAGTGGGACCAAAGTTAGTGAAATAAATTATGGATTGACTCTTTAGTTGCTTTTTTGGTAATCATGGTATTACCTTTTTCTGGGAGATACACACAAGGAAATTTTTAAATTTCCCTCTTGCTATACATCTTTTAGTCTGCTGTTGTGCATTGCACTGGCCAGGAGTGTTTAACAAATTCAGAAACTTTGAGCAAAAATGATAAAGTCATATCAAAGTGTTGTGGCCTTTTAGGATAAACATCAAGTTTCATAGGATTCAAGGTACTTTTCTTGGAGGCCTTTTGATATTCCGAGTTTGAGGTGAGACCTTGCCAATCTTCAAAGCTGGCTTCTAAAAAAATTGGCTAATGCTATTATCACAAAAACAGAAAATAACAAGCGTTGGTGAAGATGTGGAGAAATGAACCATTAGGCGCTGTGGAATTGGTAAAATTGTAAAATGGTGCAACCTCTATGGAAAATAGTATGGAAGTGCCTCAGAAAATTAAAAATGGAACTACCATATGATCTAGCGATCCCACCTCTAGATAGAGAGCCAAAAGAATTGAAAACAGGGTCTTGAAGATATATTCACACACCCATGTTCATAACAACACTAGTCACAATAGGCAAAAGGTAGAAGCAACCCAGATGTCCATTGACAGATAAATGGATAAACAAAATTTGGCATATATGCACAGTGGAGTATTAGCCTTGAAGAAGAAGAAAATCCTGTCACATTCTACAACATGGGTGAACCTTGAGGATATTATGCTAAATGAAATAAGCCTATCACAAAGAAGGCAAATACTATATGATTCCACTTACATGAGGTACCTAAAGTAGTCAAATTCATAGAAACAGAAAGTAGAATGGTGGTTACCAGGGCTGGGGTAGGAGGAAACACAGAGTTGTTGTGTAATAGATACAGAGTTTCAGATTTGCAAGATGAAAAAGTTCTGGACATCTGTTTCACAGCAAAGTGAATATACTTAACACTACTGGACTGAACATTAAAAAATGGTTAAGATGGCAAATTTTATGTTATGTGTTTTTTACCACATTTTTTTTTAAAGCACACTAAAAAAAAATCTGGTCTGTGTCCTTCACACTGCCATAGCTAGGAACCCATATACAATTTGACCAACACATGCACTCTCAAGATAAGCTTTTCTTCCTTGTTTTTCTTAAAATGATTTCTCCCTTAAAACAGCTTGGTTCTTCTTTCTTTAAAAAAAAAATTTATTGAAGTACCAAACACACAGAGAAATTTTCACAACTCCTAAATGAATTGTCACAAAACTCAATGGATTTTCCCAACATCCACATCAAGAAACAGAATATTACCATTAACCCAGAAATTTCCTCATTTTCTGTCCCATCAACGGTACTTCCCCCAACCCCTGTGACCCCACAAAGAGCAACTGTTATTCTGGCTTCTAATACCCTAGGTTAGTTTTATAGAACAGCTTGGTTTTGGTCATCATGATTTCTCGATCATTCTTGTAGCAGTATCAGTGTACCTACCAGATAGAGCGAGTGTCCGAAAACTATGGCCAGGAGCCAAATCCATCCGACTGCCTGTTTTTATACATAAAGTTTCATTGGAACACAGACATACTCATTTGTTTACGTATTGTCTGTGGCTGCTTTTGAGCTCTGTCTACGCAGTTGAGTAGTGATTAACAGACCACACATAGCCCACAAAGACTACTTACTGTCTGGCCCTTTACAGAAAAGTTTGCCAACCCCTGTGATAGAATTTTGTTTCCAGATTGATCCTACGTTCTGAAACTCCCCTGGGAAAGATGTCTGAATTCTCTGTGCAAGCCAAGCATTAGTGAAGATACTAATCTCACTGATAGTTAATTGTTATTCTAGTGACTTCAGTCTACAGTTGTGGCTAAGGTTTGCAAGCAAAGGTAGCTGTGGACACTGAGCTAAGGAGATAGCTCTTAGGCAGCGAAGGGGGCACTTCTGCCCTGTTTTGTCCTCTGCCACCATCGATGACTTACTTTATCCTCTGGCCTTGTTTGCTCTTCATCCTTAACTTATCCTAAGCATGAATGTGTCCTGGAGGGTGGACAGGAAAGAAGAGCACCTGATCCACTCCAATGGAACCATTCTATTTTTAGGAGCTCCAGCCGTGCAGTTCCAGAGTGGGATATGGCCAGGGAGTGTTGGCGTTGGATTGGTGGGTGCATGCCCGTGGCAGTCTGCTTACCGATCAGTCAACATTGCATTCCTTTGCAGGAACTCTGTCACGCTGCTGCTGAGGAAGTGTGACGTTGCTTCTTTGCCAGCAGCTGCACGGGCATACTTTCCACATTACTCAAGCTTCTGCCAGTGGCCCCCTGGATGGGACAGCACGTGTCAAACCTAAACAGAACTAAAAGTTATCAGTCATCTTAATTCATTTCCAGGAAGTTAAAAATTATCTACAGTATATTTCCTGATATGAAAAACCAGGGATTTTTTTCATGCTCTCTTGAATTTGTTTAGGACATAAATAGATGAGCAGTGCTAATAATGTTCCCTTAAAGTACTCTGTACGGAGGCTGCCTATTTTGGCCTATTTATGTTAACAATGAACTTGAGTGAGGCTAATGAGAAGGTTATTTTAGGGCCTTGGAAACTGCAGTAAAGGAAAATGACAGTTCCCACCGAACCATAGTGTGACTGAAATAGAAAGGTGGTGACTGGCCTCTCTCTATACAAGCAGGGAAAGCAGGCTGGAGAGGACTGATGATACTGCTTTGAAGCATTTGGTTTGCTTATTAGCACGTCCAGTCACTCTCTAAGCAAGTTTTCTGGCTGCTGTGGAGACACTGAACTAAAGATTCCATTTTAAAATGGCTCAGACTGATGGAGGTTTCTGCCGGGTCCCCAACCCGGCCCTGGAGCATGACTCCATGCAGTGGACTTCACACACATCAGGGAACCGCCCCAAGGAGAGGACCCCACCATGCGGGTGACAGTGTGACCACGTGTAAGCGAGGGTGCAGAGTGCAGCAACTGAGGCTGCTGTGAGGTTGGCAAAGAAAGGGAACTTTTGTGCTGAGGAACTGTGTTGAGAGTAAACACCTTCCCAGCCACCTGCCAGGCTCCGCCAGGGATCAGAGACCTGCTGGGCTGCAGAAGCCCTGGGCGAGGCTTCCTGTTTGATATTTAGCGTCTCTGATGAATACAGGTCAAGGTGAATGGATCCGGTTAAAAGCTCGACTCGCAAACTTCATGAAAACCCAAAGGAGGCTCTGACCCATTTCTTATTCTGTGCCTCTGTTAGTTAACCACCATCTCTTCTTATCCAGGAGAATCCTAAGTCTTTGAAAGAACACGTTTTCTCTCATCACAGAACATTCCATTCTCAGACATTATACAGCACAAACACTGTCTATTGATCTTATCTCACGAATTTTAATGCCACTGGGAGGAAACACTGGTTGTTCTGCCATGCTGGCCTCCTCTCTAGCACACTTCTTTTGGTCTCTGCATGTGTCACTCTCTCCTGTCACTCCCATTTCTCATTTCTCACCTATTGTCTCAGATGTTGTGAGAACTGAAGTCAGGAAACACCCTCACAGTTCTCAAAATAAGAGCTTAAGCATCACCAATAGTACAGTCTTTTGCTGTGAGATGGCTGACATTTCATTTCTGTGATTAAAATGTATAACATCCAAGTTCTCGTTAGCAATTTTTCTTTCACTTAGATGCCCAGATTAATCATTTTAATTCCACATTTCCTTTTGGTAATTTCTTTTAAATTTTATGATAGCTCATATTTCTTTTAAAAGCAGGTTAATTCAGAGAAATAAGGAAAATACATTTGGTAGTTTTTGAGTTAACATGATTATATTTTATTATTTCCTGAAAACATCTCCAGTGTGTTATATCTCAGCTGGTTATTTAGAAAATGTAATGGGTTCTTAAAACTTAATAACAAAAGCAGCTGCTATTTTTACTTTAAAATATTCTTGCAAATAATTACCTATCTAGGGTGAGTTATCTATGTCCAGCAAAATGGTAAAAGAATTCCACTATACCTTACCTTGTGAATTCCTTTACCACTTAAAAGTGTCCTATGTAAAAAAAAAATAGAGTAGTTGAAAGTTTTGTGCGCTAATAAATTTAGAGTACTTGTTTTTAAGTCAGCTTTGGTTGTTTAAAATTTCCTGCATTACTGTTATAAATATACTTTTCACAGGGCACCTGGCTAGCTCAGGCAGTAGAGCATGCGACTCATGATCTCGGGGTTGTAAGTTCAAGCCCGTGTTGGGTGTAGAGATTACTTAAAAATAAAATCTTAAAATTATATGCATATATATACACACACACACTTTTCATAAGTTTTCTTTTTTTTAAGGTTTTATTTAATTATTTACTTTAGAGAGAGATTGAGAGCATGTGCAAACACAAGGCAGGGGTGGGGAGGGGAAAGAATGTCAGACTACACACTGAGCCTGAGGCTGGGGCGCAGTAGGGGGCTCGATCTCACGACCCTGAGATCATGACCCAAGCCAGAACCAAGAGTTGGATGCTTAACCAGCTAAGCCACCCAGGCGCCCCAAGAGTTTTTTCTTAGGTAGACAATGAACTTTTATCAGTGATATGTGGAAATTTCCAACTTTGAGAGCTCAGGTGTTTGCATATTTGATGTGCAAAAATAACTCTAAATTGCTTTTTGTTACATTGTAACAGGATAATTTTTCATAGTTAATATTAATCATATCATATATGGCAGATACATAAATGGTTTAATTCAGTTTCTTAGTTGTGATATTCAATGTGATTCAGGGTGAATTCTGAATATTTAAGTATAGTTAGTATATCACATTCCCTCTTCCCCTCAGCATTATTGAATTT